TTACTTTACTTTATTTTAGTTTTCAGTATTTATACGGTAGACCTATATTGTAGTCCTCCGTATAGTGTGTAGTAACAAATTTATTTACTGATTCGAAATTATGTATTTTGTTCCATTTCTTATTTACAGAGAACTTTTGTATACATTAAGTTCAAAGGAACTTGCAATGTTAGAGAAAGCTCTCTGCAGTACTGAAGAGCCTGAAGTGTCCACCCCCTCAGTTGTAGGCGTCCAATCAGAGACTCTGTTACAAATAGATCAAGGCTTCCATGAAGGAGGTGAAGGAATTGTTCCCCTTGAATCTATTAGCTCAAACATTCTCGTACATTCACCAGGGTCTGGAAGCCCTGTTACTCCAGTAAACCTTATGCCTGAAGGCATTGATTTTGGACAGCTCTCTCCTACTTCAACCATTGTAGATGATTACCATGATGAACAAGAAATTGAAGATGGTTTCTTGAACAAGTCAGAAAGTCAGGACTCTGGTCTGCAGAGTGAAAATGTGAGTAATTCAGATATTGTCCTTCCAGGAGGACTTCCTCTTGTGTCACATGACCTGAATGTCGCTCATTGTACAAAATCTGAGGATGCAGCTGGCGCAGGTTTGAAGTATGTGAAATCTGAAAAAGAAACCGGTATTTGTGAGAATCAAAATACTAAAAGTGTTATAAATGAAAATTCAAGCAAACAAAGTGAAACTGATAATATATGTGATAAAACAGATTGTTGTGAACATTCTGGGTGTACTTCAGAATCTAGATTTAGTGATCAGTCAGGTGTGGAAAGCAGTTGCTCTGTAGGGGAAGTTAGTGAAATTAGACACTTATGTGAAGAAATAGTTGATGAAACTGTGATTAATGCAGTGCATTATAGTGATAGCGAATGTGATAAAACACCTAATCAGTCTGTTGCTACTGCATTTGATGATGATATTGAGGATGATACAATTGAAGTTAGTGATGTAACTGATGATGCTGACAGTCAGTCAGATACTGTAGGTGCTGGTATATCACGTCAGTATAGCTGGCAGTATAATGTTCAGTTTGCCTTGCCACAGTTATCACTCACAGATCATGACATGGCTGACAGACAATCATCTGGTTCTTTCTCAAGTGATAGCACAGTGTCTGAAGATACTGGACAGCCAGGCAGTGTGTCAGATTTTGTTATTGAAACTTTAGCAAATATGAACAGGACTAGTGATAGCATGACTTTGGTTCCCAGTGACCAAACTTTAACATTGTATAGTTCCCTTTCCCCACAACGATCTTCATCCTTGAAAGATTCTCAAAAGTTGCCTTCAAGTTCACATGCCACATCATCAAATAGCAAACATCGTAAACATGAGCACCATCAGTCCAACCTTTATATAGCTCAGGCAAGTAATTCACACCAAAGTACCTTAAATAAGCCAAATACAAACTGTGCACATAAAGTAAAACCAGGCAAGAGAGACTCAGTGGAGAATATAAGTTGTGGGATAGGAGCTCAGGCTCAGCCTTCAACTGATGATGCCTCGGTTGATAATAAAGAAAATAAAGCTAAATCAAAAGCAGTGCAGACTGTACAGAGTGAGGAGACAGCAAGTTGCTCAAGTGACCCCAGTAGTGTTAGTTGTGACTGTGATTGTGATACTCAATGGTGAGTATAAATATTTATATATATTTTTGAAATTTATATGCCCAGAGATTTTCAGGATGTATTATGGTAGGGCATTTGTCTGTCCGTCTAAAATACTAAGTAGGGATAGGATGCCATCTAACTGTTATAAGAACAAAAAGAAACAATAGAGATCATTCCATAACAATAAAGGGCCAATGGCCCTATATTAAACAAAAAAAATGGCCCATTTTGGGCACAAGTCCATCTCATTCTGTCCATAGACAATTGATTACTGTAGCTTATCTTTTGAACAATTTCGCACGCCTTTTATGAATGAATTGCGTTCTTTGGATGATGTCATTGTACTGTTAAGAATGAAGTTATAAGATCATACGCTACTATAAGAAAAAAGAGCGTAATGAGAATATCAGTTTTCGTAATTTCTGTTCCAAAAATAATTGATATGTTACATGCAAGAAAAAGAATCAAACACTGGCTTCAGTACATAGGGGAATATCTAGCTATCAGGTAACTGTTAAGCAGAAACTCAGTATACCCTCATACCGCTGTAAACAGTTAGATATTCTGGTCTGAACTGGCAGCCGGTGTAAGATTCTTATAGAGTTTTACCCCTTTTTAAGCATTTTTTTTAAAAGTGAAATAATTGGTTTCTGCAGAACTTCATACAATAAACTTTTATTAATAGAATAATACCTCTTTAAAGGCAATTTTTTGTAATTGAAATAATTGGTTTCAGCAGAATTACATTTAAAGGATTACAATGATTATGTTTATATTTGGCATGCAAATACTTTATATGAAAACACAGTGCGGTATTTTAAGTGAAATATTGTAATTTAACTGACTTGCACATCATTGTTATTGATTAGAATCCTGCCGAAGACTAAATTTTTGTCATATGAGGAAGCTATCCAGCTAGCTTCTTGAATGTGGTTGTTCTACTCAAGTACCAGCCTATGTCTTAAGCAATGTGCTGTTTGCACCATATTTCCTTAACTATTAAAGCAGGAAAGTTGCCCTGACCATTATAGTATAGATGTAACTTAAAGTTATTTTCTATTCATTTGAAAAGAAATGCTATTTGTCTACTCTTAGGAAAAATTTTGCTTGATTAGTGTATCAGTGTATCTTTGATAAAATAATTCTTAATCTGGTTAAAATAATATTTGTATAGATTAATTGAAGTGAATGACATGATGTTTATTTTTATATGAACAGCTCATGTTTGGAGAGTGAGACAAGTTCTTATAACTCGGAGACCAATGATGAGGAGGAAATAGCTCTTGCTATACAGGCTGCTGAGATTGCATCAAGAAATGAGGCACGTTCACGTTTCCGCAGTAGTAGTGATCTTATACATAGACTGTTTGTTTGTATAGCTGGTAAGTTACACCTATCACACTTATTGAAATAAAACACACTTAATTTGTTGTGCACTTTGTAACACACCCGAGCAAAAAGCGCTCAGAGGTGAGCGTTTGTGATGGCAGTGTGTCTGTTGTTTGTTATCCATCATTATCCACAATTTCTTTAAACAACTTCTCCTTAACCACAAGATAGATTTTTACCAAACTGTACAGGAATGGTCCTTACGTGATCCTCTACTAACCTTATATATAAGGTAACATTCTAATAAATAAGTTGGTCACAGGAGCTAAAATAGACTTTGAAAATCAGATTTTTTCAAAATTATCTTCTCAGAAACAGCAATGCCCAGAGCTTTGATATTTGTTATGTAGCAACACCTTGTGGTTCACATCAAAAATAATGTAAATCATGCCCCTGGGGTAAAAAATGGGCTCGCTGGAAATAGCTAGTTCTCACGTTCAAAATGCATCTCTTTCAGAATTTCACATTTAAACATATAATTTCACATATAATTGTTCAAATTATAGGCTTTGGATCAAAATTTGTCCCACACAGGGTTGTCAAGGGTTTTCCCAATATACATTCATTAACAGTTGGGAAAAAATAGCTCCTCTAAAACTACTAGTGCAGATATTTAGCACCAAACATTATCTTGTGGCCGTTACAAAGATTGTTCAAAATGTAGCCCTGGGGGTCATGAGTTTTCCTTATGTGTATATATAGCCAAAGCTTAAAAAATCTTTGATTTAGCAAATGCAAGAGCTTAGATATTGTCTAAGGGACAGCTACCATGTTTTACAAATTATGGCCTTGGGGTCGATATTGACCCGACCTTTGGCATCATGTTTTTCCCATATATGTATAAAGTAAAAAACTTGTTTTTGATTTGCTGAACAGTTATGAAATTTGATGGGTGTTATATAAATCACTGTTTCAGATATGACATTGAAGTGTGATATTAGCTGACATTTTGACTTTGTGATTTTGGGTTTTTTAGCTGGACTGGAAGAATAGGAAGAGCTGTTGTACTTACCCAGGCGTCAGCATCACACTTTGGTTAAGTTTTTGTCTCCTTAGTACTGAAGAGAATGGGTTGAACCTTAAAACACTTATTTGAGAGTATAGTATCGCTATGAAATGAAAGACAAGTGATCATGTGCACCATTTCAGTTGCAGGAAAGACTATGCTATTTTGAATACAAAATAATTATCTGACGGGCCCAAAGCTTATCTGTCCTTCATTTTACATGTGGATATATGACCTGCACACCCAAATTGACTATATCACAAAGTTCATTAGTATAGAAACAAAAAATGAACTGTTTCTATTCGTACTATGTAGTGTTGTTTAATTTGGTAGCAAAGCATATTTTCACAAATGCAGTCTTGTTATGATTTTATTTCCAGGTGTAGCTGATCAATTACAGACAAACTATGCCAGTGATTTACGGCACATTTTGAAATGTGTGTTTGACCTGAATACTGAATCTCTAACTGAACCGGTCAGTGAACCAGACCAAACGAAAATTGCAAGTGAAAATAATGAAAATGTTGAGCCAGGTGATACAAATGATGAACTAGAGCCACCTAACCAGATAGATGATCAAACCCCACCCACAACCAACGAGACTCCACCTTCAAACAATCAATCACAGTCAAACCACACCCCTTCACAGAGTAGAATGCCATCATCACCAAGAAGAATATTTGATAGTATAGTTATTTTGCTTATTCTTTATTTTGCTTTTTGCAAAGTGCCATTTCGACTGCAAATTTAATCATCCACTGGTCTGGAATGTTTTCTGACATATTCCAGAACTCTGTACTTAAATGTCATTTTCTCCTCATAAAAGCAGCTGAGCATTTACATATTGTAGAGAATCAGTCCAACATAAAATGCCTGTACTTGGGTCAAGGTCTGGTAAATGAAAACTATAGCTAGCTTGTCTGACTGAAGTTTTAAAATTAAAGGTTAAGTGAATGTTTGCCAGAGGTTTCTGGTTCAGTCATACGAGTGAGGCCTAATTTCTCCATTACTATTGATTTCAGACATTTAGTCTTATGATCATCCCCCCCTGCATCCACCACAAAATAAAACCAAAAATTTGTTAAAATTGAATTTAAAAAAAAGAACAACAACAAAAATCAAACAAAAAGTCAACTTTTTGCTCACAGTAACCAGTGGAGATTTTGGTATAGAATGAATGCTGCAGCTTCAGGCACAGATAATAGTCTTTAAAGTACAAGTTAGATTTACTTGTACCTGACTTTTGATGTTTTACCGCTTTTAACACAAATTTTTATGACAATTGGTTCTTTGAAAAAGTTAAGAGGTAAAAATAGGAAACCTAATTCACTGCTATATTTGGAAGATCTTCCTTCAGTAGTAAACCTGAAAATTTGTTATATGACTGTAACTATGTCAGCCTGACTTAAATCTGTAGTATCTTTAAAGGCATTTTATCATTTTAGCGTTAAACAGTAAATGAAAATACGAAATGTGAGTGATTCGGGGTCATCATGGACCACTTATCAGAACTTCTTTTAAATTTTTGATATTTATTATAGTTGAGTTGAGCATAAACTTTATAGTATACTATTGTTGTAATTACAAGAAATCTGTTAAACAATTGTTCAATACAGGGAACTACATATAACTGGAAGATTATTGTACAATTACATTGAATATGCACCATTATTGTACAATTATTGTAATTTTGTGTTTTATTAGAACCACCAGAATGGGTACCAGATGACGAGGTGGAGAAATGTACAGCGTGTAAAATTCCCTTCACCTTTGTTAGACGTAGACATCATTGTCGTAACTGTGGAAAGGTTTGTTTTGTTTCTGTAATTGATTGAAGTTTGTCTTTAAAATTTTGAATATTCTGTATGATTAAGTTGTTTTATTTTTCCTTTTTAATCACTATTTACACATTATGGGCATTAATGTAATTTTAAAACACAATCATGACAATATATGTTATAGTGAATGACAGCTATGTTAAGATGCATGGAAGTATGACAATGCTTACAGACAAGATTTAGTGGAACAATGTAGAAAAAGGACAGATAATTAAAACATGTCATTCCACCATTATTTTAATATTTTAACATTATATAGGTAAATATGAAGCATGTGATGGTTAAAGCTACACTAAATAAATATGTTAAAATATTTTTGCCGTCGGCCTAAAAACCAAGCATTCTACAGTTTTTGTTGTAAATCTCATCAAATATGGTTCGTAAATTAGGATTTTAAATGGAAAACCCCACGGTAACACTAAAGTTCGTATACGAATTTTAACATGCAAATGAAGACTATAATCAGCTCGTGTATGCGCTACGTCACGGTGTTATAGTTGCTATCTGGAACACAGCAAATATAAGATTTTCTTATGCAAACACACTTTTTACCGTTTAAGCTTCACGGTAAACGTTGTGGTTCAGAAAAAATAATTATCTCATAAAAAAGATTAAATTTGTATGAAAATATCCGTTACAATGCGGAAATATACTGTTAAATTAGGACTGCTACTTATAGTCATGTTTGTTGATTTAATATTGATGAACGGATGATCCGAAGGGGGAGTTTCTCATGCAAACAGAAATTGTACTACCGAATTCGCCACAATGAGGTTGCACATTTGAAAGCTCATTAAACTCATTTTGGTTGTCTGGACACCAAAATAAGATCTGGAGTCGATATGAAACCTAATTTATTAATGAAATGTCGCTATTTCTTTTTTTTTATGAAATTTATTTAATGTAACTTTAAACTTATTGATATGACTTATTACGTTATTATGATAAAATATTTGCTTGTGATTTACAGATATTCTGCAACAAGTGTTCTTCTACCACAGTGCCTCTTCCTCACTACGGCCACCAGAAACCTGTACGAGTGTGTCACCGATGTTTTATATATCAGGTCTCTCATTTTACTGTGTCACGAGAATTCTGAGCAACATCAAATTTATATTAAAAATTTTATATTATTAAGTGCCGATGTACAGTTCTTATAAGATCTTTGGAACACTGTTAGAAAATTTGTTATAGCTCTTTCGGTAACAAAGCAGCTATTATATTTTATATGGCATTTCCATTTTTACTTAAATCATGAATAAATGTTGAGAATTAATTTATGTTCCAATTACATGTACTTGCATGTTTTCAATTGATGCGGACAGTTACTAACAAACTTTGAGCATTTTCAATATGCAGCATTTAATTCAAGCTTATTGCTCACAATTTGTGTAAGAGTCTAAGGCATGTTGCTGAATTTTTCTTTTATTTCAAATGCATCTCGGATGATTCACTTTTAAGTGCACAATTTATTTATGAACTGTAAATGTTTGTAACTATGATTTCCTGTATCATGTCACACAGACTTAGTCAAGTGAACAATACCTTGTTTGATACTTTTTTTTTGTAATTTTAAGAAATACAGTTTACAAAACTGTTAATAAGTAGGACAGGTTTATAATTGTATGTTTAAACAGTAACTGAGATAGACAGAATCGACCATACAAGTTCAATGTTTATCCATTTTCTTACCTCTAACTTTTAGGATGACAAATCTTTCTCAGATAAATATGGTACATTTTAACGTAATTTTGAGTTAAATTCTATCATTATGATAATTTGTTGTTGGTTTCACTAACCTAAGTTTACTTGTATGTTAAACTATAAATGACTGTGATATATATGTTCACTGTTATATATTCCTTGGATTGTGCTGATTATAAGGAAATTTTGTGGTGGACAGGGTTCAATATCCTTGCCATTTTATCATTGTATTTACTGGTAGAAACTTACCATTTATTTGTTAACCTTTGTTAATTAGATGTATGAAAGAAATATATATTTGTATATTTCCTTGATAGCAATTGGCAACTACTTAAAGTCATTGCTAAACGGTTAAAAGCTCTAGTGAAAATAGCGGCATATTTTGTTTGCAGAACATTTTCTTCTGTTTACATACAATATTCATGTGTCTGTAATAACAGGGACATAATGGAAACATCATAATTTCACCAATTATGGACTTTATAAAAAAATATTTCATAAGATACAAGTTTATATTCTTTAAACAGAAGCATAATTGAAACAAATTGATGACCCCAACTTTTTTTTTACATCATTTTGATCATAATTCTGCTGGAAACATCTTTATTGTGTTCTACAGTTGCAGTGTTCGAAATTAGCAGTAGTCCTATAGCCCCAGACTACTAAGTTCCACCTTGGGCTACCAACTTTTCACAGTAACAAGCCCGACCAGGCTACTGTATTTTCAGTGGCAATATAAACAACTGTTTTGAACAGATGAATTGTGCTAGTGAAATGTCTTTTGGGCTAGTGAATATTCCAATCTGGTAGTCCGACCAGCCTAGTGGTTTCAAATTCGAATTTCTTACACTGCAGTTGAATATAATGAATGATTTAAGGAGTGGACAGAAATCAGTGGACTAGTTGTTAAAAGCTAATTTGTTAATAATGGATATAAACAACTTGAAGAAAATAAAAACATGTATAGATTAAGACTGTTTGACTTGCAAGGCTTCTATGATTCCTTATACAGACTGACGTTAAAATTACTTGTAACATTTAGCTTGTCTGTTTCAAAGAAAAAGTCTAAATGTTATGACCACTGTGTTGCCATGCAAAAAATTTAATGTAGCCCATTACCCAAAGACTCAAGACATTAGCACAAAACTTAATAAAATGTAGTTCTAAGACAATGGACATTATTCTGAAATCTGTATCTTAGAGTTATTTAATTCTTTTTAACTTAGATTTAATTTTTTGTTAAAATCATAGAATTGATTTATTTTGTAAAAATTGTTGTTTGTAAACTATGAAAGAAAATTACCATGTAGCTTAGAATACTTCCTAGTCTTGACATGGTACAGTTGTTGACATGGTATAGTTGTTTGTCGAGAGGCAGTATACTAAAAGCAGTAATATAGGAGTCCTGCCCTTTTTTTGCATATTTTTTGTAAAATTGATATTTGTTATAAAATTTTGAAAATTATTTAAGGTTTTTGTACTGACATTTGCATACTTTCTAATGGGTGAAAATGCACAATTTTAGTATGAGAAAGATGCTTAATGGTGAGAATTTTTAGAGTTATTTTCTTCTTTCACATGGGGAAATAAAGCATATAGCCTTAAGACATAAGTAAACACTGCACACAGGTGTATCAGTGAGACTTTTTTGACATTTACTTATAATGAAAACTGTTTTCTCTTCATTTTTGTTACCCGGTTGATAATTTATGTATAATATGTTCATCTTGTTATATTTACTTGTAATACTGTAAAAACCATTATCTTATCATTATTATGGTAAATTGTGCATTACATGTAGTTTTCATGCCCTCATTTTTTTGTAGTTTTTAGAATATAAGTTTTTAACTTGTATACAAATTAACATAAAAGTTTTATAGGTAAAGCAGTGTAAGACATGTCCATGTCTTGTAATTATGATTACATATATGTTAAATGCCATGAATGTCCGAAAATGTTTGTAATAGCTTGTTAATCAAGAATTAAGCACCTTGGTATTTTGTGTAAAACTTTTACTCAAGGAAGGTTGTATTTATGTTGATACAGTTTCGTATTTCATGAATGGACTGTGTAGTTTATATTATGTTAATGATTCAATTTATTTTCTGTGACTTTTTAGCTCACCTGTCACAAAGTGACATGGTGAGCTTTTGTGATCGCTTTTTGTCCAACGTCCGTCTGTAAACTTTTACTTTAAATGACATCTCATAAACCGCTAAGCCAATTTCATCCAAACTTCACAGGAATGTTCCTTTGGTAGTCAACTTTAAAATTTGTTCAAAGAATTTAATTCCAAGCAGAACTCTGGTTGCCATGGCAACCGAAAGAAAATTACTTAAAATATCTTGTTTTAGAAAACAGAAAGAGCTAGAGCTTAAATATTTGGCATGAAACATCATCTAGTCAGTGTCTATCAAGTTTGATCAAATAAATGACCTGGAGTTAAAATTGGTCCCTCCCCAGGGGGTCATTTGTATATAGTAAAAACTTAAAAAGTCCTCTTTTAAAAAAAAGGCCAATAGCTAGAGCTAAGATATTTAGCAAGAAACATCCTCTAGTCGGTGTCTACCAAGTTTATTCAAATAAAAGCTCTAAGGTAAAAATTGGCCCAGCCCCAAGGGTTCATTGATTTTCCTTATTTGTATATAGTAAAAACTTAAAAAAAATCCTCTTTTAAAAAACCAAAACAGATAGAGCTTAGATATTAAGAATGAAACATTTTCTAGTGGGTGTCCACAAAGTTTGTTCAAATAAAAGCCCTGGGGTCAAAATTGCCCCCCCCCCCCGGGTCATTGTTTTCCTCTTTATGTATATAGTAAAATCTTTAAAAATCTTCTTTTAAAAACCCCAAAGAGCTAGAGCTAAGATATTTAGCATGAAACATCTTTAATGGGTGTATTCCAAGTTTTTAGCTCAACTATTCGATAAGAATAAGTAGAGCTATTGTAGTCACCCGAGCGTCGGCGTAACCACTTATGTTAAAGTTTTTGTAATAGTTCAAATATTTTAAAAGTCCATTGACATATGGCTTTGAAACTTTGCACACTTGTTCACCATCATGACCCCAACCTGTAGACAGGAGGAGGTAACTCTATCAAGCATTTTGACAGAATTATGCCCCTTTTTCAACTTAGAATTTATGTTAAAGTTTTTGTAATACCTCTAATATTTTCAAAGTCCATTGACATATGGCTTTGAAACTTTGCACACTTGTTCACCATCATGACCCCCACCTGTAGACAGGAGGAGGTAACTGTATCAAGCATTTTGACAGAATTATGCCCCTTTTTCGACTTAGAATTTACGTTAAAGTTTTTGTAATAGTTCAAATATTTTCAAAGTTAATTGACATATGGCTTTGAAACTTTGCACACTTGTTCACCATCATGACACCAACCTGTAGACAGGAGGAGGTAACTGTATCAAGCATTTTGACAGAATTATGCCCCTTTTTCGACTTAGAATTTACGTTAAAGTTTTTTGTAATACCTCAAATATTTTCAAAGTCCATTGACATATGGCTTTGAAACTTTGCATACTTGTTCACCATCATGTCACCAACCTGTAAACAGGAGTAGGTAACTCTATCAAGCATTATTTTTTACTATCAAGCACTAGAATAGTCGAGCGTTGCTGTCCTACCGACAGCTCTTGTTTCAAATAAAGGCCTTTGGGTAGTGCTAAGATATTTAGTATGAAACATCTTTAATGAGTGTCTACCAAGTTTGTTCAAATAAGGGCCCTTGGATTAAAATTTGCCCTGCCCCGAGGGTTTTTGATTTTCCTTATATGTGTATAGTAAAAACTTAAAAATCTTCTTATAAAATCCCCTAAAAACTTAAAAAATCTTCTTATAAAATCCCCAAAGAACTAGAGTTTAGATATTTATCTTGAAACATCTTTTAATGTGTGTCTACGGCGGAAGGTAGTGTAGTACTGGTGTAACTCTCCAGGGCGATGGTTAGGAAACTACCGGCCTATATGACTGAAATACTGTTGGAAAAGGCGTAAAATGAAACAAACAAACAAAAAAATAATGTGTGTCTACCAAGTTTGTTCAAATAAAAGCCCCTGGTTTAAAATTGGCCTTGGCCCAGGGGCCTATATACAAGTGAGGCCTATATACAGGTGAGCGATTTCAGGGCCATCATGGCCCTCTTGTTTTATTTTATACTCAAACAGTTGCTTTTTTCCAAAACATACGATATATTTCTGTATTTTTGTAATAGTGATTAAAGTTTAAACTTATTTGCATGGAACAGAATAATTGCATATTATCTAGACGTACTGTATAAAATAACCTTATTAATGAGACAACCTGTGCATATTGGTAAGGAGATAGATAAAAAAAAAGGCAGAATTCTTTGGCCTTATTTTTGGTTAAACAGCACACTGATTCTAGATTGATTTACCTACGTATTATGATAATGTTTTTTTTATTCTTTATTCTTATAATTTTGTATATGACCATTCATTGAAAATCTTCCATAGTGAAACAATAACATTTTTAACTGTTATGTTCTATAATTATGCCCCCCATTCAAAGAAAAGGTAGCGAATTGCTTCACAAATGTTGGACTGTCGGTGGGTAGACCACTTTGTTTCTACTCACTAACTAGAGAAGAATTTGACTTGCAGCATTTAAACTTTATAGGATGATCACCCTCATTGGGTAGAAAATTCCTATCAAACTTGGGGGCGCCAATAAAGGTCAAGGTCACGGTGACTTTAATAGTGAAAACTGTTACCGCTCACAAGTAGGGACAACAATATAGATAATTGTTAGTTAGTTTATTATATAATGCATTATCTTTTTTAAAATGTGTAAGAAATCAAAAGTTATTGATAAATAAGTTAGAGACATTGACATCTAAAATAAACTGTCCAATAAACTGATCAAGTGGTTTTTTTAGATTGGTTAAGAAACTGGCATGCTTAAATTGAAGAGAACACAAATGTGAAAAACTTTTATCATACTAAAGTAAAAACTGATGAATTATACACTAAAGATTAAAAAAGTGAATAACTAATTTGTGAATTGATAAATTAGAAAGGAATAAAACTGGAGGGTGAATATGATAATATTCAAGTGTGTTAAACAATATTATTGTTTCATATTGTACTAGCAATGACTATGATTGTTTAAATTGTTGTAAACTTAACTATTTTTAAAACATGATTGTGTACTTTATTCCTTATTCATAAACAAATACCATTACATAATCAGTTACTCTGTGACTTTTGTAATGGTTACTTATTGTAGTTGGGTTGTCTGTGGCCGAGTGGTAAAGGTTGTGACAAAAAAACCACATACCCCTCACTGCGGTGGGATTGAATCCCAATAGGGACTTTGGTTTCTTTCATGTGAGGAAGCTATCTAGCTAACTTATAGTTATTACACATTAAAGGTAAGGGGAGGGGGCATTTGTGTCTTTTTGACATTTCTTATCTCAGATATATTGAATTATATTTATCTTTGATTGACGAGAACTGTTTGTAAATATGATTACTTATATAAGAATACTTTGAAATCAAATGTTTGTTTGAAAAATCATTGCATTATCATATGTTATCTTTGTTTTAATATTTATTTACAACATTACTCCACATTTTGCTTCATTAAAGTGATGTTACAACTGTGTATGATAGATGTTTGAAACAATTATTATACCAAGGACAGGGATATGATCAATAGAATGTATGGTACATTTGTTAAATGCAAGTAGAAACTATCAGCAGAATAATTAGTTTATTAATATTATAACATTCCCCACCATAAATGTACAGTTATTATACTATACTAGACTTGTTACATAGATCAACATTAACCTTCATTTTACTATTTTGTATTTGGAATCTTATACTAGTGAACTAACAATGGAAAACTCTAAATAAAATATTTTCATTATAACAATATTATAAGGGGTAATTTTTGTAATGGTTAACCGTCAATATCAGATCGACTGTTGAAAAGTCAAATACTCTAAAGCTTATATAAAGTTTCCTTAGTTTTTATGTGCAAAGTTCTTTGTTTTCATATATGTCTCTAATAATTATGCCCCCGCCATGTAATGGCCGGGGCATACAGTGTTACCCTGTTCCGTCCTTCCGTCATTCTGTCATTCCGTCATCATCAGTTTCCGTTCATTATCTTAAGAACGGTTGCACACATTCAACTCAAATTTGACCTATGGATATGTCATGAGAAAATACAGGTCAAGTTCGAATTTGGTCATGGTTCGATGATTTTTGGCAGAGTTATGCCCCTTTTACTTTGAAAATAATATGAAATTTCAGTTTCCGTTCATTATCTCCCCAACGGTACAACACATTTAACTCAAACTTGACATATGGATATGTCATGAGAAAATACAGGTCAATTTCGAATTTGGTCATGGTTCGATGATTTTTGGCAGAGTTATGCCCCTTTTACTTTGAAAATAATATGAAATTTTCAGTTTCCGTTCATTATCTCCCCAAAGGTACAACACATTCAACTCAAACTTGACATATGGATATGTCATGAGAAAATACAGGTCAAGTTCGAATTTGGTCGTGGTTCGATGATTTTTGGCAGAGTTATGCCCCTTTTACTTTGAAAATAATATGAAATTTTCAGTTTCCGTTCATTATCTCCTCAAAGGTACAACACATTCAACTCAAACTTGACATATGGATGCGCCAAAGGAATGTGCAGGTCAAGTTCGAATTTGGTCATGGTTCAATGATTATTGTCAGAGTTATGCCCCTTTCACTTTGAAAGTAATATGAAATTTACATTTTCCGTTTATTATCTCTCCAATGGTGCAACACATTCAACTCAAATTTGACATATGGATATGTTTTTGGAATGCCCAGGCCAAGTTCGAGTTTGGTCATGGCTCAATGATTTTTGGCAGAGTAATGCCCCTTTCACTTTGAAAATAATATGAAATTTACAGTTTCTGTTCATTATCTACCCAACAGTGTTACATATTCAACTTAAATTTGACATATGGATATGTCAAACAAATGGGCAGGTCAAGTTGGAATTTGGTCATGGTTTGATGATTTTTTGGCAGAGTTATGTCCCTGTCACTTTGAAAATAATATAGATACATCTTAGGAATAAGCAGTTTAAGTTTGAATTTGGTTGTAGTTCAATGATTTAAGACAAACTTATCTTTCAAGAATGTTGGAAAAATTTTGAACTTTCAGTTTCAGCACTCTTACTTTTAGCCATTATTTTGGCTACAAATATGCAATATGCTATTTTTAAAAGGTTTAGACTGAATAATTTCAGTGCCTTGAACATTGTATGAAAATGGTTTGTGTTAACATTGAAAAGTTTTAAGGGCTTTGAACTTAAAATGAAAAAAATAATTAATGCAGCATCTGAAATTTTGGCTGCATGCGGGGGCATCCATGGCATGATGACACATTTCTAGTTTTCCCATTACTTTATCCACTTTTATGATATGAGAAATAAGAATCCCTACACTGGCGTTATTATCCCCTAGCCAAAGTCAAAGGGAATATTAGAAATGATCTCCATCTCAATTTCGCATCTATTCCGACTTTTTTGTGAATATAACGGCAAAAATACTTTAGTGATTTTCTTCAAACTTAATTACCAACAGGGCACATTGGAGCAAGTGCGATGTTTAAGAAAAATAAATCTAACATGCTTAGTTTTTGAGTTATTTCTCTTTACTTTCAAATTTTCTCAGAAGCATTATTTCTAAGTACTTGAGGGTTTTTCTTCAAATACAATACACTGACATACCACATTAGTAGAAAGTGCAGTGTGCATGACCAATAACTACTTTTTGTAGCCTACTTTTAGAGGTATATTTTCCTTTATCAGATTTTACTTTAAAGCTTTGTGCAGCATAACTTCTGAGGCTAAAACTTATTCACTGACATAAATAAATAACTTACATAATATATTATATGTTATTTTGGTTTTGGAGTGATATATGTGGATATATTACCTGTTAAGATTTTATATCACCCGAGCCGTTAGGCGAGGGTGATATTTTATCTTGACAGGTAATATATCCACATATATCACTCCAAAACCAAAATAATAATTTTATTACCCTTCCCCTGCCGAGTTTAGACGATTTTTAAAAAAAAATTTGCTGTTGCAAATGAAACGTCGAGATAAGATTCCCTTTAGGATACCTTTTCGTCACAACATGACGTCACATAAATACATGACGTATTTTTCCCGTACCTTACGAAAGTTAACAATAGAAAAGGAGTAGTCTGTTGAACGCACTTTTTTGTAATTAATATCAAGCTTTCAGAAGGTCATATTTGTTTTCAATCCTGATGGTTATATGTATCATTACTCAACTTTGGTAAATATTTCTCATTTGACAGTTAAAAAGTGCTTTTAAATCGGAATTTACACCGCGTAAAATCGAACCGTACGCGCATCACCTCAGCGCATATTGTTTACAACGTTGGGGTACCAAACGGGGAAATTTAGTATGTATATTACCCGTCTGGCTCGGTTATATCAATTTCTTTCGGGTGATCAATATCCAATCAAAACGGCGGAAAAAATCTGGAAGGGTAATAAATGTTGCTTGTTACACTAACCTTCTCATCATGGCCTTATTTTTCTCTACTTACTTGAAAAGTTTATGTAGCATTTAAGGATGTCCTCTGACCAAGTAAAATGTACGAAAATACAGCCTTCATGTAACTTCTTCACTGTAAGAGGATTAACCATGTGTAACATGGCTCTTGTTACATATTTAATAGTCACAATAAAGTGTTGAAAGAAGTGAATGAATTTGTGATAAGAAAAAGATTATATTCAAATTTTTATTAATTATTCTTTCAATATTTCCTTTTTAATGAAATCTATAAAATGAAAATATTTGTTTTTAACTCAATTGTTGTATGTATTATGATTTTTTCAAGTTTTCTAATTTTTGTTAAGAGAACTATATGGAAATAAATTTTGATTATGAAACCGTTTTCATTATAAAACTGTCTTAATTTCAGTGTGCAGCTGACAAATAAAATCAGTCTTGATAATCAAGGTTTTCTGATCAATTTTTAGGGTTTCAAACACTTCTTTTGATTAATAAAGTTTACAATATTAGTTATACAGATTTATGACAGAATATTATGGTATAAATGCTACCAGAGCTACAGTATGGGTTAAATAGCAATCCATCATTTATACAAGGCTATATAACCTTTGGGGTCTTTATAATGCTGCCCTATTCCCCTTTTTCAGTAAAATTAAGATAAATTGACAAATTTACAAGAACTGCTTATTTTGATAATGTTATTGATTTATGCATTGGATTAAATCTTGATGTTACAAATCATAGGTTATAAATACATAATGTACATTTAATTGTTTTAATCATGTGAATTGATTTAAATCTTATAAAGCAATGAATTTACTGAAATCTGTAGAAATAAGAAATTATTTTTGTCATTTAGTATATCATTGATGTTTTAAAGCTTACACTTTGTTTAGTTTAATATTCGTCACTTCAGTACAGTAACAGAATAAATCCTTCTTAAATTACAAGGAGTTAATCAGTTATTGCACTAAGGTGACAATATGAGAAGTCAGCATGTGGCAAATGACTTCACTGAATCTTGACTTTGATGTTCAATTTATATTATAGATACTTTATTACAAAGTTGTGTTATAAAAAAGTACATGTATATTTCTCAAATCATGTTGTTATCTGATATTATGTATACAGTTTTGATAAATAAAGTATATTGTTAACTAAACCCATCTCTTTCTGTTGTTACGTATTAAGGTAATACTACTATTTTAAGCTTATGATTGTTGGAAATATATTGGCATTGTGTGTTTCTGATTATAAGCCCTACCCCCCTGTTTTTAGCTCACTAAAGTACAAAGTACTCAGACATGCACTTTTGTGATGCATTGTGTTAATCATCCATCATTATCAGCAATTTTTATAAACAACCTCACCTCCTAAACAACTTGATGTATTTAACCA